TCCTCCAAGCTCACCAGGTCCTTGGGCACCCAGGTCTTTTGCCCAGGAGCTCTTGGAGTTTGGGGCCTGGAGGAGGATGCTTGTGACTGGAACCACAGTTCCCGGACTGGTGGTGGTTTCCAGAGAGGGTTTGGCTCATGAGCATAGCTGCAGCAGCTTGTGAAACAGGAACCGTCTCTGGGGAAGGGGAGCAATGAACAAGGCTGGAAGGCTCAGCCTCGAGGGGCTGCCCCTCAGAAAAGAGGAGGGAGAAGATTCTGCCTACCGTGTAGTACTGGGCGTTGTTGGGCACATCTGGTTGAGTGATGGGTTTTCTGCCACACCTGGGATAGCTAGGTAACCGGAAGTCTTTGGCAGATCTGAGGGTGGTACCAGATTCTTCCTGTGTGTTTCACTGTCGCATCAGTGAGCTTAGTCTCCTCAGGGTTTGCTCCTTTTGTCCAGCTATGGGGGCCAGCAGAAGCCCTGGGTCGTACGTGCTGTTGACTTTGCAGAGGAGCAGCGAGGGGGTGGGGCTGAGCAGCGGGGGCCCCATCCAGGCCTGCGTCCTGGGAGAAGGGGGTGTGGAAGCTTAGAGTGGTTGAGGTGGAGACCTGGGTTCTGATTGCGGTGCTTCCTCTCCGGCTGCTTGTCCTTGGACAAGCCACTTACTGTCTCTCCTCTGTAACTGAGTTGTTGCTCTACTTAAATACTTAGAAAAACATGCTTCAAAGAGTATGAGTTTGAGATTGCCCACTGGTTTTTGTCAGGAGGATCTGAGCCTTGGCGGTGGTAACCTGTACAGTGGGGATAAAAATACCTTACAGGGTTGCTGTGAAGCTTTAAGGATGTTGATGACGACAACAGCAGCAGCTCAGAGAGATCATTTAGTTTCATCCTCACGACGTCAGGCCAGAATCTGCAGTTGAGCATCTGCATATAACTTTTCACTCCCCCAAAACTTAATTACTAATGGTCTACTGTTGACCGGAAGCCTTACTGATAACATAAACAGCGATTAACAACGGCCTTGTATGTTATGTGTATTATATCCTGTATTCTTACAATAAAGTAAGCTAGCGAAAAGAAAATGTTATTAAGAAAATCATAAGGAAGAGGAAATATATTTACTGTTCACGAAGTGAAAATGGATCATCATAAAGGTCTTCATCCTTGTTGTCTTCACGTTGAGGAGGAGGAGGAGGAGAAGGAGAAGGAAGAAGAAGAAGAAGAAGAGGGGTTGGTCTTGCTGTCTCAGGAATTGTAGGGGTGGAAGAAAATCCCTGTATAAGTGGATCCACCCAGTTTAAACCTGTGTTGTTCCAGGGTCAACTGTATTCTTTTAAAAAGTATTTATGAAGTATCCACCATGCCAAGTATGTCTCAGGGTGTTGTTTCCAGTGTCCTTTGATCTGTGGTTAGTGGAAGAGTTTAGGGCCTGGCAGACCTGGGCGTGTATCCTGGCTCTACCTCTCACTGACCAGCTCTGTGACCCTGGATGGCGGATCGTTGACCTTTCAGTTCCTTCATCTGTAAAAATGAGGGTTAATGTGAAAATTAGGTACCTTGCTTTGTTGTTGCTGTTGACAACAGCAAGGACTGTTGTCAAAAGGGTTGCAAGGAGAAACCTTATCTTTTTTTTTGCAAATAATAGACAACCCAAAGTACAGTCACGTGTTGCTTAAGGATGGGGTTATACTCTGAGAAATGCATCATTAGGCAATTTCATCCTTTTGCAAACATCATAGAGTGTACTTATACAAACCTCGATGGGGTAGCCTACTATACACCTAGGCAATATGGTATAGCCTATACTCCTAAGTTACAAACCTATACAGCATGTTACTGTACTGAGTACTGTAGGCAGTTGTAACACAATGGTAAATATTTCTGTATCTAAACATAGAAAAGGTAATGTGTTGTGCTGTGATATCACTAGACAACAGGAATTTTTCAGCTCCATTATACTCTATGGGACAGCTGTCATATATGTGGTCCATTGACCAAAATGTCATTATGTGGCACATGACTATAGTTAAATAGTAAGGAAGTGTTTTATCTCTCCAGGCAAGAAGTCTGGAGGCAGAAGGGTCTAGAGTTGGTTAATTTAGTAGCTCAAGGATCTAGGTGTTTTCCCTCTTTCCCTTCAGCTATCTTCAGCAAATGGGAGTTTTCTTTCCTCCTTGTCACAGAGTGGCTGCAGTATCTCCAGGCATCACAGGCAGACCACATGAAGTCCACTAAAGCAGGGTAGTATTTTTTTCCTGTGCATCCCTTTTTATTAGTGAGGGAGCTCTTCCCCAGGATTCCTCTTGCAGACTCTTAGGTCCTCTTGCTCTGTGTCTTTGTCTGGTTCCTTTAGGTTCCTTGAGTTTTGAAGCAAGTACAGACACATTGGGATGCCAGGCCCAGGGAGGTGAGGATGAGGGGAAGAAAGCGGGTGAGCAAGGCCAGGAAAGACATGAAGTCATGTGATACAATATGGTTTTGCATTGGCCACGCCTTCACAGAGTGCCTTGAAGAGACACAGGCTGGCATGTTTGCGTAGCACCTAGGGCCTTTGAAAGGGTTGCAAGGGAAACCTTACCTGTGCCTGTCAAGGAGCTCTTTTACTCTGCTTGCTGGAGTTTTTGGAGGGTAGAGAGAAGAAGGGAGCATGCTGATATATCTTTTGGAATTAATTTTTAAATCTTCCCCAAATCCTAGTACATTTCTCTGCACCTGCTTTTACGTTGGGAGGTAGCATAGCTAGTGGTGAAGTATATGGACTCTGAGTACCTGCGTTCAAGCCCAGGTACTGCAGCTTACCAGCTATGTGTGACCTGTGCCCACCTTTTCGGGTTGTTTGGAGGACGAAGTGTATTAATATTTGAACAGTGCCCAGCAGTTAGCACTCTGTGTGTATTTGATTAAATGCATGGGGCATACATACTCAAATTATTCATAAAATACTGTGATTTTTCATCTCCCAGAAACTTGCCTTTTTCTCCAAGATGAGATCTTTGTACTTTTATCTCTAGACCTCAGAGCTCTTTGACGCGTTTCCCTTGTCAAGGTTCCTCAGCCTATGAATGTTTATCTAGTCTGTGACTGTAAGGGACACAGATCAAAAATTCGTAGACACTCTTTGCCTTCATGTATGCCCTCTTCTGCCTTCCCTTAGCGAGTGGCTCCTGTGCCCAGGGTACCATTCACCTGTCCTCCTGTGGTTTGGTCATACGCTGTCCTCTTTCCAGTGACGGGAGGCGTCTGCTTTAGCTCTGTCTAGCACTTTAGCGCAGTGCTCCACCCATGCAGGTGCTCGAGAATTGCTTGTTCTGAGTTGTCAGTGCTTTCTGCTTTGAATTACTCATTTACAGACCTGTCTTGTTACTTTCCTGTAAACAGCTTGAGGGCAGGATCTAGATAGTTATGATACTCACATGGATGAATGACTAAGCGGATTTCAGTTGAGGAGACAATACACAGAGGCACGTGCCAAGGGGTAGTAACATTGGAAGGGGCTAGGACCTGCCATCCTGGAGTCTCGAGCTTCTGTACTTTAACTTTTCCAACTACCGGGCAAAAAAATGTTTGCTGTCTCGTGTGACTTGTGCAGCCATGGACTCCTTTTTTCTTTTCCTGTCTCCTGTGAATCCGTCGTAGACTGTGTGGATTGAGGCTCGGTGTAGACTGAGGGGCGGGGGCTGGAGGCAGGGAGATGCACCGATAAAGTGTGCATCTGAGATGCCGAGAGCTTGAAGGCAGCGTGGGGTGGAGGGAAGGGAAAGCTTGAGAGTTAGGGGGCAAGTCTTTTCTCTTCTCTGGGCTCATTCTCGCCTTCTGGGAGCATTTATTGAGCGCCTGCTGTGTGTACCGTCCTAGGCACAGGGCTGTGTTCTCGTGGAGCGTGCGTTGTAGTGGAAGGAGACAGTGATGTATGGAGAGAGGGGGACGCTGATTTCCGTGGCTGCTTAGGGAAGGACTCGCTGAGGAGGTGGCATTTTTTGCCGGGCCGTGGGAAAGTCTGGGCAGAGTGCTTTTGGAGGAGGGAATAAACAGGTGCGGGCTCTAAGGGGCAACCACCTTTGAGAACCTGAAGGGTCAGTGAGACCACGGGGGCCAGGTGGGCTGTGGTTAAGAGTTTGAATTTTATTCCAAGTGCGATGGGAGGTTGGAGGACACTTTTTTCCCCACCGAGGTCCTTTTGGATTATTTTCTTCTTCATGAGAAACATAATTTGAAAAATCCCATTCGCCAAGAAGGTGTGTTTATGGAAACAATAGAAATGTATAATTTTTTTTTTTTTTTTTTTTTTGAGACAGAGTCTCACTGTGTTGCCTGGGCTAGAGTGCCGTGGCGTCATCTTAGCTCACAGCAACCTCAAACTCCTGGGCTCAAGCGATCCTCCTGCCTCAGCCTCCCGAGTAGCTGGGACTACAGGCATGTGCCACCATGCCCGGCTACTTTTTTCTATATATTTTTAGTTGTCCGATTAATTTCTTTATATTTTTAGTAGAGATGGGGTCTCGCTCTTGCTCAGGCTGGTCTCGAACTCCTGAGCTCAAACAATCTGGCCGCCTCGGCCTCCCAGAGAGCTAGGATTACAGGCGTGAGCCACCGCGCCCGGCCAGAAATGTATAATCTTGAATTACTTTAGGCTTTTAAAGTATGGGGAAATAATTTATGGATCACAATGAATAGTCTCGAGGGCTCCCAGGGATCTAAAGATCGCAGATTGAAACGCTATCATCAGCTAGATCTTTGAGGCTTCTTCTGTTTCAAACGTTTGTTCTTCCCCAAACTGCTTGCCATATGGTTTAAAAAAATACTGCCATCTACTGATAGAAAGGAGAAGGTGAATTTTTGTGCGCTGACAATCCCAACCCCCCTGGTTTCTTCTGCCACGCATCTGGCTTTCCACCCTGCAGTCCCCACCTGCAGATGGCTCTGGGGAAGGGGCTTGCGCTGGTCCTGGTTTCCTTTGGTTCTGGCTCTGACAGTCTCCACTCTGCTTCTGTGTCCTTCTGCCTCAGTTCGCCATGCAGTGGCAGGGGGCAGGTGCCGACCCAGGGAGCTGCCCCAGTGTGGGACGTGGGTAGTCACAGCTGGTTGGCCTCCACGTAACCCAGTTAATCTTTTGTCTGTAATTGACCCGTGGTTTCACCGAGTCCCTGCGTTTAATGTCCCAAGACACCCTAACCCTGGCCAGCAGGCCTTTGCTTAATGTGTTTTTTACCATCCCACCCCCATTATTAAGTCCTCAACTGCTTCGTTTCTGATTTGCATTTTCTGTGGCCGAATGAAGCTGCTGACTTCCGTTTTCTGTTTCTGTTACAGATGGTGCGCGCAGGTGACTGTGAGTACCGCTTCCCTCTCCCTGCTTGTGCTGTTCGCGGCTGCCCCCTAACGGACACGGAGCAACATTAACAGCAATGTGGAAATCACACACCATGCTAGTTTATTAAAACCTGCTTAGTTTCCAATTTTTCTTTAGAAGTAGGGTGAGAGTGGGAACAGCAAATGAAAGTAAAAATTAGGTTAATTGTGCAACTATGACAAATAAAAAATTTACATTTTCGGTGACACTTTTCTCATCTATACCCATGGATGATTTAACTTATTTGAAAGTCTAATGCAGTGTGATTTTTATACATTTTGTGTGCTGTTAGCCCATAAATATTTCTTGTGTTGCTACACTGTTCTTGTGTTGCTACGTTGAGGCATTTAAAAAATGATGACCAGGGTTTGTATAACCTTTGGAAAACCAGACATAGCCTCCTGTATATGCTGCTTTCCTAGAGGGCTGAGTCCCACTTGCTGACTGGTGCTGGTCCATTCTGTTCATACTAAAATGAAAAAAATAAGGATATGATAGTAAGTTTTAAGGAAACTAAATATATTCTGTTGAAAGTACCATCCATTCTGGGATTATGCCCTTACTAATTTTTTTTGGTCATAAAGCATTTCCATAAGAAATAAAAATAGTAGTTTTTTAAAAAATGTATCTTTTGGGAAAAAAATAAAAATTGGTAGCTTTAGTTTGTCTCCAAAATTTGGGACCTTTTTTCCCTGATTAGTAAAATCCGAGTCTATGAACCATAGAGATGAAATAATTGGATTGTTCTCATAGTGCCGTACAAAGGGGGTGGATCTTGCTGGAACCTAATAAAGCACAGCTCAGTTAATAGCGGTAATTACGCAAAGCCTGTGCAGACAGTGGGGAGCGTTCTGCAGTTGTTTTTTCTTTCCGTTAATCAGTTAGGTAAATAAGCTGATAGGTACCTTGTGCAGGCTTGAATCACTTGTGCGCAAGAAGAAAACTTCTATGCACAGATATGATATTTTAAATCAGGGAAATGAGGGAACTATAATCAGTTTTAAAAATTATGATAATGTGTTGTATGGCAAGTGTGTGGTAGGAGGTGCCGTTTTATTAGTTTGTGTTTTTTTTTTTTTTTTTTCTCTTTCCTGCATTTTAGGCTTCGGCTGTGGTCCACTCAACTTCAGTTCTTCAGCCACTGAGATTCATTTCACTGATGTGCCGGAAAACGTTTCAGTAGTAAATGTAACTGATTTGAGCGGCCGGATTCACCAGAGTTCCCCACCTGACTCCAACGGGACTATTTCACTTAGGGAACTTGAGCCTGGGACATACTATCATTTCAGCTTTTTAAATGGCTCCAGTACCTGCTGTCAACAAGTGCAAACAAGTGAGCAAGACTTTTCTTTTGGGATGGTTTGTGGGGTTTGGAGAGAGTATTTAAATATTATCATATCGGTCGTGTGTTTGAAATCCCTTCATCTGAGCCTCCATATTAAAAAGTGACTATGTCTTGTATCTTTCTTTTCCCCATTCTTGGTCCTGTTGCTTAGGTTGAGGGATATCTCGTTCCTCTGAGAGCTGCTCTGACATTCTCCTTTTTGCCCTTTTTTTTTAAAACAGAATCTCGCTCTGTTGTCCAGGCTAGAGTGCAGTGGTGTCATCATAGCTCACAGCAACCTCAAACTCCTGGGCTCAACCGATCCTCCTGCCTCAGCCTCCCGAGTAGCTGTGATCACAGGCACATGCCACCACACACAGCTAATTTCTCTATTTTGAGTAGAGTCAGGGTCTCACTCTTGCTCAGGCTGGTCTTGAACTCCTGAGCTCAAGCAGTCCTCCTGCCTCGGTCTCCCAGAGTGCTAGGATTACAGGTGTGAGCCACCATGCCCGGCCTCTCCTTTCTGCCTTTACATATGGCGATGGCAGAGCAACAAAGATCACAGACTCAGAATCAGAGAGACCCGGCTTTGCTTCCTGGGTCTGCCAGTTTCTAGCTGTGTAACCTCGGGCAAGTCATGGATCCTATTAGGCCCGACTTTCATCATCTTTATTAACATATATGTATATTTAAAAATATTTTGAAATGTGTTTTCTTCTCTGAACTATTGAAACTTAAGAACCTGCTTTTCCAAAACCTTCCTAGAACCCCTGTCCGAATCAACAAAATTGAGTCCTTAGCGCATTTCTCTGTCTTCGAAATGGCCTTGCAGCCTTGCTCATGAAGTCGTTGTGAGTGACTTCAGTCATGAGGAAATGCTGCCTGGCACCTGGCAGCGTCTGGGACGTGGTCAGCCCCGGGCAGGGCTGCTGATCCTGCGTCCTCTGCCACTGAGGCTATTGTTATTGTCTGTCTTTATTCTCCTCCTTTTCGTTGTCATTGCTTGTAAATGGCAGCACGGTGGTAATCTGCCAAAAATGCTCCTCTGACGCTGTAAACTTGTCATTTTATAACGAGGAAACTCAAGTCTGGAGGGGCTTCCTGGCACGAAGTTTATTGAATTGTGGGCCACAGGATTCTTCCCTGCTTGTTCTATGCTCCCTTCTCTGGCTTCCTCTCCTGCCCTTTTTCATTGACTGGATTAATGTTTTCATCTCCCATGAGCCAGGAAAGGCGCCCTCTCCATGAGCCTTCTGACATGGTGTTACCTGTATTGTCTTTTACTCTTTTGGGGTCAGTCGCAAGCTCCTTGAGAAGAAGGGCCTTTTCATCTGTGTTTTATTTTTCTGTTTCTGGTTGTTACTGCTGTTTCTTGATTTCAGTTAGGATGCATCTACTTGGTAGTATTACTGTTAATAATCATGATGGCTTCTGTGACTTTAAGACCCTGTACATCTACAATTTTACAGAAGAAGAAACTGAGGTTCAGAGTGGTGAGATGACATTGAGTAAACAACTACATGGCTGGTTTCTCGCAGCATTGGACTCTGAACTCAGATTTTTAATGTCCAGATCCAGTGACCTTGTTCATCCTGTCATGGTGGTTCAACAGTAGTCTTTTATGTGTAGTGTGGTGCGTTAGAGCTGTGGGCAGGGGAACCTGAGACCGAGAGGTTTTAAGAAACTAATTCCAGGTCATATAGGAAATGGGTGGAGCAGGCCTTCGAGTCCACATCTACATCCCAAGACCGGTTCTTTTCTCCTTACTCTGTTCTGCCATTTTATGTCAGAAACCTGCTGTGTTTCCTTCTGACATCAGGGCTTGGCAAAAAAGTTGTCACGTGTTTCTGTATCGGGAGAACATCTCTCTAAATGCATGTTTTCTGCAAATGGGGAGATGGACTCACTGTGCATCTCAGGTCTCTTTTGATACCAGCTTCTATACAGATTTAACCCCATGTTCCGGTCACAGCAGCATGACCAACCTCATCAGGTTTCCTCCATCCTAAGGTCTGTGTCACCAGCACACACACATGCATGTATGTATCAGGATTTAAATAAGTTTTGTTGCGGGGAAGTCTAGAGGCAAGTAAAGAGAAGTGAAACTGTGATTGTAAAATTCACCCTGGAAGGTAGATAGAGAAGGCTTTGCTTTTACATTCCTTTTTCAAATGTAATTTTTCTTGTCTTTTTTTTTTTTGAAAACAATATTTAAATAGAACCCAGTCCTGTATTTGACATTGAAGCTGTTTCCATCAATCCAACAAATGTGACCCTAACCTGGAAAAACAATGACACAGCTGCTTCTGAGTACACGTATAGAGTAAAGAATGAGATGGAACATTGGCCGGTGATTTCTGTTGCAAATCAGACCAGGGCTACCATCACAGGCCTAAGTCCAGCGACCTCATACACGTTCTCCGTCACTCCAGGAACAGACAGTGGGACTTGGGGAGATCCCACGGCTATAAATGTCACGACAGGTAAGATGATTGGATCCCAGGGACAATCATGAGCATTCCTTCTTACCCTGTATCCTGGAGCCCTGTGTGTTCAAGTTGCCTGTAGGAAAGAGATTGGTTTTCATAAACTAGAGGAAAAAAGGTGCTGTGTAATATTTCAGGCCCAGGAGTTCAGGTGGCCAGTTCATTCAGCAGTAAGGTCCTGTGTGGTTTTGGAAATTCTAACTACTTCTGTTTGGTTTTAAAAATCTTTTGTTATTATTGGTTAATACCTACTTTTCTGCTAAAGCTTAGGAGTGGAGACCTCATTAGAAATTCATCTGGAGGATGATGACCTGCCTTTTAAGTCCCCAGAAAAATGATGCTGTGTGTATATTCCCAGGAGTTTCTGTTGGGCAGGG